CCAAAATAGCTTCAATGTGAGTACAAATTGTTTTTCTATACATAAAGGGGGTTTGAATTTACGGATAGCAAGAGCTTTTCTCTCCCTTCCTATTCCTTCTATGTTTTCTATTAACTTCATTAACCCTTTTCATAAATTTTCACCTAAATAGTTCGATAAGTCCCATGTGTTATAAAATTATTCGAAATGTAATAGCGGTAATACATCACGACATATTTCAGATAATCTACATCTTATCATTACTCTGTTTAAATTTATCAAAGGGACCAGTTAATTTAAGAATAAAATTCTTTCATAGTTATTATTGATAAAATGAATTTTTTTCTTCTTCGTAACTTCAGTATCAATTTTGTTACCGTATCAAACTGAATTTATTTCATTAAAATGTTTTACAATTTTAAAAATTTTCTTATTTATTACAGTTAAATCTTCAAGATCAACTAAAAGTAATTCTATCTAGTATCTTGGTGATTATGAATATAACTTACCACTCCACACTTCCATTTTAGTACTCATACACGCATATATATATATATATATATATATATATATATATATATATATATATATACACGAGGATGTCACAGTCAGAATCGGAAAAGCAAGACAGGCGTTCATTAGCCTGAAACCAGTGTGGAGATCAACTGCACTCAGCATGTGAAACAAGATACGGATTTTCAACAACAACGTCAGTCAAGTCAGTGCTTCTGTATGGCTCAGGGACTTGGCGCATCATGAGAGGGATTTCCAATAAACTACAGACATTCATCAACAACTGCCCCCACGCTGGCTCGCTACTGAAGATCAGATGGCCAGAAAGAATAAGCAACAAGGAACTCTGGGAAGGAACCAAACAAGAACCTATCACCCAACAAATATGCAGGAGGAAGTGGAGATGGATTGGGCATACAGTGAGAAGGCCGACTGAGGACATCACGCGTCAGGCCAGGCACTCGAGTGGAATCCCCATGGGAAGCGACGAGTTGGGTGTCCGAGGTGAGGGTGACATGGTGGAGGTCGTGCGAGGAGGAAATGAGAGGTTGTGGGCTGTCGTGGAACCAGGTTGAAAAGAGAACAGAGAACAGAGGTCACTGGAGACGTGCTACTGAAGCCCTATGTTCCACTAGGAACACAAGGGACTAATAATAATAAATAGTAATTATATATATATATATATATATATATATATATATATATATATGCACAATAAACCGGCATTTTTTGTGAAAAAGGCTTGTCTATCCACTTGATTATATTTCAGATACCTTCTTATTCAAGTAATGAAAAGGAATGAATGTTAAGATTGAAATTTTAATTCAGTATGATGATTTCAGTGATTGGATGAATTTTTTTGTAGAGTAATTTCTCATCATAAAATGTTACCATTTAAGATAAAAAGTTATTCTATTTAAAGTTTGGAACTATTTCTATGTGATTGGGGCTAAAAATCTATAGGCTATTGTTGTGAATCCTGGTATTATCAACCTTTTTCAGTTCAGTTCAGTTCAGTTATAGATTTTCTGTGTACACTGATTTATCTTCCGGTGGTTTTACTAGTTAATAAGCACTTTTGAACATTAGGTTTAACTCAAAAGTAACGACTTTTACTAGTATACGAAATCCTTAATTTCAGTATATTATTCTCAATGATGATGAGTTTCAATAAGCACTGACCAGTTGAATAAATCAAGTTTCTCTACAAAAATATTAAAGATATTCTTTTTTTGTCAAAGTTTATTATCAGTACCGTTATACAAATAGTTATGTTATTCAAATGGAAAATTTGTATAAAATTGGTTGATAAAGGAAGTAGTTTGCATGATGAATCGGTATAATTAAGACAACGAATGAAAATAAAAGAGCACAACGATTATTTTGAATGAGTTAGTTAGTTAGTTCCAAATCGTCACACCCCTTGAAATTCAATAACACTCCAATGCAAAATCAAGTCCATTATTCAAAAGTGACTTATTTTCAAAAGGATTCCCTAAAGTTAAAAAGGAGAATCCATGAATTGTAAGTTTAATCAAGTTATATGTTAAAGGAGTTACTGATTGATGATACTATGTTATATCGTATGTTGATCACCCCTCATCTGTATCGAATTGTTTCCGGTGATATTTTTTTATAGCTGATTTCCGTTCACAATGCAAAAAAAATAGATTTTAAAGTGATCATATCTTTACTGAGAAAGCGTAAAAATCTAGAATTATTATTATTTGTCCTTTGGGTTCGTAATGGAACATAAGGCTTCAGCAACACATCTTCATTCGACTCTGTTCTCTGCAAAATTTTGAACCTGTCGCCACGACAGCCTCGCACGATCTCATCCATGTTACCCTCACCTCAGATGTCCAACTTGTCGTTTCCCATCTGGATTCCACTCGATATCCTGGCATGACACGTGATGTCCCCATTCGGCCTTCTGAGTGTATGCCCAATCCATCTCCACTTCCACTTCCTTCCAGTGCATATTTGTTCAGCAATATATTCTTGCTTCGTTGGTTCGTCACCAGCCAGCCAGCCAGCCAACCAACCAACCAACCAGAGTTCCTTCTTGCTTATTCTCACTATTCTGGCCATCTCATCTGATCTTCAGTAACGAGTGAGCATAGGTGACAGTTGTTGATGAATGTGTGTAGTTTGTTGGAAATCCATTTCGTAAAGTACTAAGCCTCTGAGCCATACACAAGCATTGACTTGACTGATGTTGGTGTTGAAAATCCCGATGTTGTTCCATATACTGAGTACAGTCGATCTTTACACTGGTTTTTCAGGTTAGTGAACGCTTATCTTGCTGTCTTTTCGATTCTTACTTAGAAATCTAGAAATTTACTGCTAATTTAGTTATGAATCTATATAAATTTAAAATTATATTTTAATTTATAATGAAAACGACTTTGTAATTGATTTTCATAACAGGCTACAAATTTCTTATAATTTAAACACAGGTAGATTTTATTCACATCTCTTATATTCTCTTAATCAAGTAATAATATTTATAATCTGTTGTGTATAAATAATATGATCATTTCAAGGGACATTTTTGATCATGATTATTTATTTGGTTTTATAGTTTTTCTTTTCATCTATCTGTATGTATATTACCTACAATAATAAGTGATAATTGTATATTTCAATAAAATTCGATTAGAAAATCCAAAAATTACTTCCTTATATGAATAATTTGTTCTATGGAAATATAATTTTAGCATGAATAGATAGACAAACCAATGCATAATCACTTGGTGTTAAATTGACAATAAATATGAAGAGATTAACAAGATATTGAAGAACTTGAAGATGATTGAAAAATGTTTGTGTTTGTTAGAATATCTATGGATCAACTTTGAGTTAGATGTAGACTTTTCAGCTGTCAATTTCATTTGTTGTATAAATACTGATCCATAAGCCTACATGATTGTAAATAGATCAGTTGAACAGTTAAAAACTTCATAAGTCATATCGTAAGCTTTGGATAGTAATGATAATCTGGTAGCTTTAGATTCTCATCAGTATTTCTTCAATATTTACTAAAACTGTATCAAAAAGCATCATTTTCAAACATAATGCTTTATATACATAATAATAATATTATTATTATTAGTCCCTTGGGTTCCTAGTGGAACATAGGGCTTCAGTAGCACGCCTCCAGTAACCTCTGTTCTCTGAGATCTTTTGAACCTGGTCCCACGACAGCCCACAACCTCTCATTTCCTCCTCGCACGACCTCCTCCATGTCACCCTCACCTCGGACACCCAACTCGTCGCTTCCCATGGGGATTCCACTCGATATCCTGGCCTGGCGTGATGTCCCCAGTCGGCCTTCTCAGTGCATGCCCAATCCATCTCCACTTCTTCCTACATATTTGTTGGGTGATAGATTCTTGCTTCGTTGGTTCGTCCCCAGAGCTCCTTATTGCTTATTCTTTCTGGCCATCTGATCTTCAATAGCGAGCCAGCGTGGGGGCAGTTGTTGATGAATGTCTGTAGTTTATTGGAAATCTCTCTCATGACGCGCCAAGTCTCTGAGCCATACAGAAGCACTGACTTGACTAACGTTGTTGTTGAAAATCCGTATCTTGTTCCACATGCTGAGTGCAGTTGATTTCCACACTGGTTTCAGGCTAATGAACGCCTGTCTTGCTTTTCCGATTCTGACTTTGACGTCCTCGTCCGTCCCGCCTGTAGTTGAAACAGTGCTTCCTAGATAAGTGAAGGAGGTTACTTCCTTCAAGTTTCTCCCGTTGACGGTGATTGGAGTTTGTTGTTGTTGTTGATGGTGGTGGTGTGGTATCTTCATCACTTCTGTCTTCTCTATATTCACCTGGAGTCCCGTCTTAGCTGCCTCTTCTATCAACTTGTTAGTTTTTGCCTGTAGATCTTCAAGTTTATGTGACATTAGGCACAAGTCATCGGCGAAATCCAAGTCTTCTAGGTTCTTTTCTGCAGTCCAGCCAGTGTATCCCCCTCTTCTCGCTGCCTACTGTTTGCTGCATGATCCAGTCCACCACAATCAGGAATATCATGGGTGATAGTAGGCAACCTTGTTTCACTCTTGTCTTCACTTCAAAAGCATCACTGAGCTTCCCATTGTGAATTACTTGGCATGTGGCATCTTCTTTATATACATAATATTCTTATTTATTGGTGTTTTAAATTACAATGATATTGGTGTTGTTCTGCTTCTACACTTTTCATGACCTTATCAAAAAGTTAAATACTGTCTTTAAGAAATCTACATTTCACAAAGTACTTTTATCCAATACTTTGTTTACGTGAATTTCTTTCATTTCTAATTTTCACTGAAAATAGATGATTGTGTATTTTATGATTGTATTTGATTTAATATGATTCTATCTCAATATTAAGGTGCAATCTCTCCATATATTTTATCTTTCAAGTTTTTATCAATTTTTTCCAGCATAATTTTTCTGTTATTTGTTTTCTACTTTTCAACTAAAGTTTTTTTTTCTTGTATTCATCACCTCTTAAACTAGGTGGATCTAAATCTCGTGTACCAATTGTTGGTGTTCTATTGGAAGGAGGAACTCAAACATTTCGTACTGTGTTTGAATTAATCACTGGTCGTAATCCTGTACCAATTGTTGTTTGTGATGGTAGCGGTCGTGCTGCAGATCTTTTAGCATTTATGCATCGTTATGCAAATGAAGATGGGTAAGATGATTATTCTAACATTTGTGATATTATTACATATCTCATTTATTATCTGATGAACCACTGTAGAACAGGAAGAGCTCAATGGTGATTCCATCGTAGTTTACAACTTCTCAGCGATACTTAATCACCATTTCTTCCAGTCTCTCAACATATACTGCTTATATGCATTCTTATTAGTAGCACCCACTACACTAACACTTAGTCGTTGTATTGGAGTCCAATGGTTCATTTTTAACAGTTTTTGTGTTCCAGTCCATCAGGGAAGGGATAATATCTACACTGAATATATTGGCTATTGATTGTAGGTGCATAGTAGTCAAGATTTATCGACTAGTTCGAAACAGCTACCTAATGCTTCATGGTTTTGTATTGGTTCTCCCATTGATGTCAACCTGTGTAATGAATTAATTCTGAAAATACCTCTGATAATAATTTCCACTGTGTAAAAACTTCTCATTCTCTTGTATATATATACCTCCCAACCAACTAGTTGATGTGATTAATGATGAATGGATGTCACAGTAGTCAGGAAAATTACTACTTACAGTTTAGTTAATCTAACAAACAAACGATACGTTGTGGTTATTCACAATGAAGATTATTTTATTTTGGAAGTAGTATTCATCATGGACAGAAGTTGGAAATTGTGAACCACTGGGAACCGACCCAGTGGCTGAATGGTTGACACGTTCGCCGTGAAATCCGAAGGTCCTGAGTTCGACCCCTAGCCGGGTCGTAGGTGCGTACTGCTGAGGAGTCTCATACTAAGACGAAACAGCTGTCCAGTGCTCCCAAATTTTCAATGGTTCCCCAACTGATGTCAGTCCATGATGAATACTACTTGTAAATTAAAAATCCCCATTCATCTCAAAAATAGATTATTTTATTGTTGTTCAAATGATAATTGAAAGAAAGATAGGATTTGTTCACCCTTCATCCAGACTTAATTTTGACATGGTTGCATAATACAAGTTACGACAGAAAACACATCGTTACTTTTCAGTTATTAAAAAAGATGAGGACAAACAGGAAGTGACATAGTTGATCCTAATCTTGGTAAGAAAACAAAGTTTACCAAGATAGGTGTAGTGTAATAACAAACTGTTTTTGTACACATAAAGGTGGTTTAAATTTGTGTATGCCTATAGCTTCCACAAATCTCAGAATACATCCCTGACTGTTTCTATATAAAACTTTGAAAGCTGTTTGAACATTAACTTTGTGACCTATTCCTATGATATGTTTGGTTATAGATGAAGAGGGTCGCTTAAATGGCTTCAAAAACAAATGGAGTGTGAAACAGTGATAAACGTTTGCGGGAGACAACTCTCTTTATCTATAGCCAAACGTATCTTACAAAACAGGTCACAAAGTTAATGTTCAAACAGTATTCAGTTATTATTTACTTTTTATGAAAGAGTTGTTGATGCAATTGTAAGCTGGTAACATCTGATGCAGGTAGATCAGCAACAGATGCTTTCGACTGGTGATCTTGTATCCATCTCTTGTTTAATGAAAGAGTAAATAATTTATTTCGAAATGCATATTACGACTGAAATTAGTGTTTTGTACTAACTAGAACTAGAATTTTCAAAGCCACATAAGGAAAACAATAATTGTAATTGTAACAATACATTACCTTGAGGTAAGTCAAAAACAGCCTAAGAAATCAGCCAAGGAACAAAGCAAATAATCACAATCAAAGCATGATCGTATAAATAGTGGAAAGGATAAATAATAAGGTTGTACCATTCAGTCATTGTACCATAAAGCTGAAATAACTAATAAGAATTATATTTAAAGTTGTTATTCATCGTAGACTGACATGAGTTGGAGGAACAACAGAAACCTGGGAGCATTGGACAGCTGTTTCGTCCTAGTATGGGACTGACTCCTCTGCACTGCGCTCCCCCGACATTCAGGTTTCGCGACCAGTGCGTTACCATTTAGCTAGCCACTGGGTCAGAATCCGATGGTCCATATTTCCAACTTCTGTTAGCTCACGACGCATACATACGACACATACATACAAACAATTTACGTGGATTAAGTCTGGTTGGTAGACAATATGACTTTTAAAACCTACTGACTAGACATATTTAGATATTGCATACCAATTCCGAACAATGCCTTCTAGCCAAAAAGGAATTATTTCTAAAGAACACTGGAGATCCTTACTTGAGCTTCGAGGAAACAAAGATCTGGTTATTCTCAGTTCTGTAACTCTTATAAACAAAACAGACTATGTTACAAAGATGCACGAAATTCTCTCTGACAACTCGAAATTCATATTGGATAGTAACGCTAAAGACCAAACATCATATATTGAAAAGCAGATGGTACAGCAACTAAAGCAGTTCCTCGAAGCTAAATACATAGACGAAACCACATTTAAAAGCATTAAACCAATTGGATCACAGATCCCAAAGTTACATGGGCGAGCGAAAATACATAAGCCAGGTGTGCCTTTAGGGCCGATATTATCAATGATAAATTCACCATGTCATAAAGTAGCCCAGTGGTTATGCGGATTCCTCGAACCATTACGCAAACGTCTGGGAGAACACACTGTCTCTGATACCTTCCAATTTGCTCGAAACCTCACAGATTTCAATAGCACTGCTAAGCATCTTGTTTCATTTGATGTTGTATCTCTCTTCACAAATGTACCAGTTGATGAAACCATTGAGTTTATCTGTCGAGAAGCTGGTAATATCCCTATCCCAACAAGTGAGTTGAGAAAGCTTCTAAATCTATGCACCAAAAACATCCAGTTCCAGTTCATCGGACAGTTATTCCCGCAAACCGATGGAGTCGCAATGGGAAGCCCTCTGGGTCCTCTTTTCGCTGATTTATTTCTATCCAGTCTGGAAAATAGTAGCTTGAAGCGCCTCATTGGTCAGACGGAACTGTACCAGCGCTATATGGACGATATATTCATTGTATGCAATAGTAAAGCGGAGGCAGAAGCACTACTGAAGAGATTCAATTCATGTCACCCAAACCTGACTTTTACGATCGAGCACGAGGAAAATAATATGATTAGTTTCTTAGATGTCTCATTAGTGAAAAGAACCGATGGATCTATAGAAAGGTCCATCTATAGGAAACCTTCATGGACAGGACAATACCTTCATTTTAGGAGCTTTGTTCCTATCCAATACAAAGTGAATGTAGTTAGAACGCTGTGTAACAGAGCCAGGAAAATTTGTTCCGACAGCACACTAGACTACGAAATAGGGACTTTGAAAGCGTGCTGATGAAGACTGGGTACCCGGAAAGCTTTTTCAACAAGCATGCGAAGTGGGTAAGGAGCAGAACAACGGCCCCAACAGTGCAGAAGAAACCAGCCTATGTCACCTGGCCATTCAAAGGTGACGACGTGCTAGAAGTAGTTAGACGAAGACTTGAGAAGTCTATCAGAAGGACTTACTACGCAGCTAAACCGGTTCTTCTCAGCACCACCAAAAGCGTATTGCAGCAATCACGGAAAGACAGTACTCCGATCCTCGGCACATCTAAATGCATATATCAATTCGAATGTACCTGCGGAAGCAAATACATTGGTCGTACGGAGAGGCGTCTGTCCACCCCAATGGTTGAGCACATACCGAAATGGTTGAAGCATGCCGAAAAGAAGACCCTGAGGAGCTCGATAACCAAGCACCTAAGGGACTATGGATATGTTATTCATACCTATAAGGTTATCAATAAACAGCAAAATAAGAAGTTGCTTGGATATATAGAAGCCTACACGATTCGAGTTGTCAAACCAAACCTTTGCATTCAGAAGGAAATGGTAGTCAGCCTGAATCTGCCATGGTAATAACTATAACATTGTCTAATCATATTTTACTCTTCACTACTAACTATCACTCATCTCATATTTTGTTTTCCTTCCCTGATTTGTTTCGTCAAATTAACCTTATTCCTATTGCTAATGTTATCATTATTATTCATCTCAATATACACCTTGTTTTCTTATTGTCTTGTTTTCAATGACGTGATCAACGCTCAATCGATTCAATTCTCATCCCTATGTAAACAATTTTGAATATCCATTTGACCTGTAAAAAACTATTCACTTCTATGTTGTTACACCTAAATTTGTCTCAGCCTACGTTGTATATGTGTATGTATGTATGCTCTTTTCCATTGCTTAACAGTTTATACAATCAAGTATACAGAGTATACAGCTGACGAGTACTACTGATATTTATGAATTCATTAAATCCTGCTTTTTTTTCACACTTGTTGCTTGTTTTAAATTTGTATCGGGAAACAAATGTTTTCAACATATTTAGTCATTATAGGGGTGCTCACTTTTTTAAACATGGTTCTTGGTTTGAAGTTCTCACTACAAATATTGATTGCTTAGTTAAAGCAATGTACAATCTCCTGAATCCAATAGCAGTACAATGGAGTGACTTTAAACGTCATCCCAACAACTACTACAATAACCAATTAAGTTTCCTCATTTCGACTAAACAAGTAGTTTTTCATAAAATAACGCAATCTAATTGGTTATTTTATTAGTTAATAGAGTGATGTTTAAAGTTACTCGTATAAGACTCTCCTTGACGATGGTGTATGTTGAAGCAATGGTAGTCATCAATCTTGCTATTTCTCTTGAAATTTGATGGAATTTTAAGGAGTCATCTAGAAACATTTCAAACATGGAACTTACACTGGAGTGTTGAAATGAAGTTTAAGAATTTTTGAGGATGAAAACTGAACATTGAAAATACATTTGTAATTTAATTCTTGGGATACTAACGATACCTGGATACTCAGGTTAATTTAAGTTAATTATGAAGAGAATATTCTGATTGTAATTTCTGGATGACTGTATTAGACTTCAAACAATATTCTTTCTGTATGATTACTTCTACGGTGGATGTTTCCAGTCAGTTGACAGGAAATTCCCTTCTCACCAAGGTTTTGTACCTAGTAAAACTTGTCAATAACGTGTATCTGTAAGCTTGTGGAAACTAAAGCTACTTCGGAGATTCGAAAACATGTCATCCAGGTCAAAAGTATAAGACTTTACCACTAGGTTATTCAACTAACAACTAATGCCTTATAAGATTGAATTATGTAAACATATTAGTTATGAGAGTATAACTGGCATACCTAACATTCCTTATATCCTGCAAAATTTGTTCTAAACCTATTGATCAAGATTTGGATGGAACTACTGCTATACTTTGTCATTGAGGTATGTTTATCCAGTCGTTTGAATCAGTATGATCAGTTCTGAAGTTTGTGCATTTTCTAGAATTCAAAGAAGACACCACAGCCGAAGTGTTGAAAAATCGTCTATCAAGATGTATCAATAATAGCTTCTATGCTGCTAGACTGATTCGTCAATGCTTGAAGGATGAGCTTCCACTTATGTCCACATCTATGTGTATCTACAAGTTCACATGCTTCTGTAGAGCTGACTATATTGAACGTTGTAAGCGGGCTCTCCGAAAACGTGTTGCTGAACTCTACCCGGTTTGGCTTACCAGAAGCAAGCAAAGGAAAATGACTTCATCAATATGTGAACACCTTGTTGAATCGGGACACTTAGCACCTCGAGATTCATCCTTTAAAATAATTTACAAAGTTAAATTGAACTACTCCAAAGGTTTACGTTTCCACCACTTATGCATAGGTGGAGCATAAGCTATACATGAACAAAAACCGAAACTTTGCATTCAAAAACATTTTGTGAAATCACTTTCTCTACCTTGGCCTTAACAATTCATTTTGTTGATTTTGTCAATTTTCATTTCACTTCACCTTGGTATACTTCTCTTCTATTATCATGATTATCACCAATTTTCACTTCATTAACAACAACTGAACCATATTTCACTCTTTAATATCATCAATTCATTCCTTAATCATTGACCTATTGTAAACGTTCCAGCTTAATTACCACCATCTTACAATTCTTTGACAGCACTTGTTGCTTATCTCACCACTTGTTATCAACTCCTTCCTCCTTATTCAGTGACCCATCTTCTATGTGTTCCAACTGAACAAATACCACACCACTTACACCGATTGTATGTATATTGTATATTGATTGAGCAACTCTTCTTAGTGCAATTATCTGTCACTTTACTGAGTATTAAAAAAAGACATCAAGACAGCCGTTCATTAACCTGAAACAAGTGTGGAGATCGAATGCACTGCACTGCACTCATCATAAAGCGTCAACAACATCCGGATACGGATTTTCAACACCAACGTCAGTCAAGTCAGTACTTCCATGTGATGGTTGAGAGACTTGGTGCCTTACGAAAGGCATTTCCAACAAACTACACACATTCATCAACAACTGTCACCTACGCTCAGTCGTTACTGAAGCTCAGATGAAATGGTCTGAATAATGAGAATAAGCAATAAGGAACTCTGGTTGGTTGGCTGGCTGGCTGGTGACGAACCAACGAAGCAAGGATCTATTGCTGAAGAAATATGCAGTGGAAGGAAGTGGAAGTGGAGATGGATTGGGCATACACTCAGAAGGCCGAATGGGGACATCACGCGTCAGACCAGGTACTGGAGTGGAATCGAGATGGGAAGTGACGAGTTTGGCGTGGGAGGTGAGTGTGGCATTGAGGAGATGGTGTGAGGAAGAAATGAGAGTTTGTGGGCAGTCGTGGCTACAGGTTCAAAAGACTTAAGAGAAGAGAGTGCACTGGAGACATGATGCTGAAGCCTTATGTTGTATTAGGAACCCAAGGGAAAAATAATAATGATCATGTTGGTACAAGCAAGCTTAGTTCCTTGTATACAACAGATTTTATGAAATGTTTCACGATATTTTACCATTAGAATGTTTAAAAAAACACACATAAAACTATAGATTGATTCCATATTTGTGTTAATCCATTCAGAGACCTTAGCACACAACTACGTGATCAAATGGTTGCAAATATATCTAGAGCATTTCAAATTCGACGTTTTGAAGCTGAAGCATTGTACAGTGAAATGAGATTATGCATGAAACGTCGACATTTAGTAAGTTTTATATGCTTATAAAATGTTCTTTCTATGTATATACTATTTTGATAGGATTTATTTTAACAAATGTGTTTTATCTGCATTAAACAAACCAGTGAACTAGTTTGTTGATAAGTGATAAAAATCTTCTAGTAGTCGAATACAATACGTGTATTCCATCTTATTTTCAATTTATCAACTGAATCCACTCACCCTTCAAAATTCTAGTATTCTTCATTGGATTCGACTCATGCATCGATTACCCCGAAATTCCAGGTTATTGATGTAATCAGCACAAAGAATTTATATTTACACAGTATAAATGGATTACCAATATTCATTCAACACAAAACTGTTTTCATATCTTAATAGTTATATGGATAAAGGTTTAATGGATAAAGCAATTGGTATGAAATATGTTTCAATTAGAAATAGGATGAAGTTTTCATGTATCTATCCAACGTTAATGACCATCCATCATTATCAAAATATGCATGTAATTTTTTAATCTAATTATAATATTTCAAGTTGTTATTCATCATAGACTGACATCAGTTGGAGGAACAAAGGAAACCTGAGAGCACTGGACAGCTGTTTCGTCAGACTGGTATGGGACTCCTCAGCAGTGCGCACCCATGACCCCACCAGCAGGGATCGAACCCGCGACCTTTAGGTTCCACTGCTGAGGATTCCCATACTAGGACGAAACAGCTGTCCAGTGCTCCCAGGTTCCCTTTTTTCCTCCAACTGATGTCAGTCTACGATGAATAACAACTTGAAATAGTTCCATATCTCCACAACTCCCTCATCATTATAATATATTTGTGTAAACACTGCATTCTTGATCCTTTACATAACTTGAATTAGCCATATGCAAACAATAATTTCCACTTCAGTGAATATTTATGTATATAGAAGTACTAAACAGTGCAGGTAGAATGAAAAAGCGTAAATTTACAGTGAATAGGAAGTAGTAGTATCTCATTAGAGTTTCCCTCAAGTCTGTTAAAAAAACACCTGAAAACATGAACTGTCAATCAAGAAATATTATTTTCTTAAGCAAGAAATTACACTAGACTATCTTTATGAGTTTAGAACATTAATATTCTATGTGTATGTTGTTTTCTGCTATGAAATAGTTTTGTCCTAAAACATAATTTTATAGGTTGTAAAAGTTATCAAGTCAAACTTAACAAAGGATCTGGTATTATACAAAGAATGGTGCCATATTGTCACAATCGAAAAAATTAATCAGTATACTCAAAGAGTAACATAGACAATAAGTTGAATGGTCTATAATTTATTTAAGAACCTCAATGTAATGATTGGCACTCAGCATGCGGAACAAGATACGGATTTTCAACACCAACGTCAGTCAAGTCAGTGCTTCTGTATGGCTCAGAGACTTGACGCGTCATGAAAAGGATTTCCAATAAACTACAGACATTCATCAACAACTGCCACCTACGCTGGCTCGATACTGAAGATCAGATGGCCAGGATAACAAGAATAAGCAACAAGGAACTCTGGGAACGAACCAACCAAGAACCTATCACTCAACATATATGTAGAAGGAAGTGGAGATGGATTGGGCATAGAGTGAGTAGGCCGACTGGGGACATCACGTGTCAGGGCCTCAAGTGGAATCCCCATGGGAAGCGACGGGTTGGACGTCCGTGGTACAGGTGACATGGAGGAGGTCGTGCGAGGAGGAAATGAGAGGTTGTGGGCTGCTGTGGAACCAGGTTCAAAAGATCTCAGAGAACAGAGTTCACTGGAGACGTGCTACTGAAGCTCTATGTTCCACTAGGAACACAAGGGACTAATAATAATACTAATAATAATAATAATAATAATAATAATAATAATAATAATAATAATAATAATGTAATGGTTGAAGTTGAAATACAGTTCAAGCTTCATTAGGAGTCAAATCAACAACTTAAGTATCTATATTTTATTTCAACACAAAATAATCATCCCCATATGTATATTGAAGATCAGTTAACAAATATTTGAGCTACAATTTTAAGAAGTAGTCTATTGTGTGTGTTGACTCACACGTCATGGCTTCTCATTACACCTTCATGACATCCATCTGGAAGCAAGTCACTAATGAGTACTAGACAGATGGATATCATGAAGGTGTAATGTAATGAGAAGCCGTGACGTGTGGGGTCAAGTAGTCGGATGTGAAGTGGATGCTAACTGAAGACCTCGGGTGACAGTCGTGCTATGTGGTGAATTGATAGAAGTTGTAAATTGTGAAGCACTGACTACCGGCTCAGTGACAGAATGGTTAACGCGTTCGCTATGAAACCTGAAGGTGTTGAGTTCGATGCTTGGTCGAGTTGTGAGTGCGTACTGCTAAGGGGTATGGGTTTTAATTTCCGTACCAGGATTAACGGGTTTTTTTCTTTTTCTCTCCCTTCCTATTCCTCCTGTGTTTCCTATTTAACTTCATTAACCCTTATCATAAATTTTCACATAAATTAAAAATCCTCATTCATCTCAAAAAGAACAGATTACTAGTTTGGAAGGATGAATATTTGAAGATCAGACAATATATGATAAATAAGTAATAATAATAATAATAATAATAATAATAATAACAATAAAAGTACTTTTGATAACACTTGAAGTATGAATAATAACAAAATGGATTATGTTATGATTCATGGAATGTATATGACTTAGAAAGTAGTGTGGAGCTGATGAAAATAGTAGATGTATAAGGTGTATGTAATAGGACTAGACAAGCTGTTAAAATGCAATCACTGTATATTCTTTTTGTCTATTTCCTCGTGGTCAAGACGATTAAGCGAAATAACACCAGAAACTATTCAAGCAAAAGTAAATGCGTAATTAATCATGTGAGGTAAAATTATGTTCTAACTTCTCTTCATATATTATTTACAACTATCTATACAAGTCATTAATGTCTGCCAGTATATTTGTTGGATGTCTAACACATCGTTACTGCTGACCGGAGAAGGATATGAACAGATGTACAAAGCTTCTGCAATAATCAGCTCTTTATGAGAAAGAAAACTATTTTGTAAGACTTATGATCTTCTCAAATGATATTTTATGACATGAATATAAGGCATAAGCAGTAATGGCAGAGTTTTTTTCAAGTTTTTGCACATCATAGAAATTTTTTGGTGGTTTCTTCCAACTTTGACTGTGTTCGGCTAGACGTGTTAGTACTTGACATGATGTCTTTCCAATGTATGTGTGAGAGTAATGTATTCGTCACCTTAAAGAATACTGTGAAATTGTAACGGTTAGGGATACGTCTTATTTCCTCTGAAGTGGATGTTCGATAAGGAAGTACTATAGTACTTATCCAATCTTTATGGCTTAGTTTTACTGTGTCTTTTTTCCATAAACTTCTTCCTATCCTTTTTAATAGTTTGTCCGGATAGTTATTTTGTTTTAAGACTTCAACTGTTATCGAAAGTACCTTGATTATTATTATTATTATTATTATTATTATTATTATTATTATTATTATTATTATTCAGTAAATTGTCTGATCTTCAAATAATTCATCCTTCCAAACTAGTATTCTATTCTTTCTCACCCTTGATGTCTCACAACCCCACTGTACTTTCATAGTCCAACTAAAACTTTTCTCCACCCTATTTTCGCTCCACCTTAATTGCACAACTGACCGATTTGCTTATTCACTCACCTGTATTACGTTGATCTTTACTCCATATCACGATGTAATTGGATGATTGTGAAGGTCACCACCTTCTTTACCAAAAGTTGAATATTAACCTGAAAACTTAATGTCAGATTCATACTCTTGTAAATGATCATCCTAGTAAGATGGAACCGTTGAGGAATAATACAAAATATTTGTTTATTTTATTATTTGTTCTAATATATACTACACCGAGATTACACAAGTAAAAAATACACCTTAAACAATCAGTGAACAGATTGTTCAAAATTTATTGCAAGAAAAGTTGAAAAGTTTCAGAAAAATTATATCATGGAATGGTGCTATTTGAAACTATCTTAAATATTCTTCTGTAAAAGTAATTTGAGTTATGGGCTCACTAAAAGCCTATTATAAGCTTGGCATAGTTTACCGAATTCAATGACAACTAATGTGTTAGTCTGATATACTATTTTTAAGATGTAATTATTTCCTGTCGTATGTATCATATGATGCTTTTGATTTCTTTATAAGCACATTTCATCATATGATTCGACTTATTTATAACTCTGACTTCTGGTATACACAATTCTGTCACGATCTAATTCCTTGTCTGAATTAAACGCTTGCATAATAAGATACTACGAAAAATTTAAACAAATGATTTATATTCAACGAGTGACTTTAAAGGTTATCCTAGCAACAAATGAAGTAACCAATTCCACTTCTCTATTTTATGAAAATCTGTTTCTTCAGCCAAGATGAAGAAATCTAATTGGTTATTTCGATCATTTCTAAGGTTACCTTTTAAGTCGCTCCGTTCAGAGAACAGAGTTATATAGCGATTGACATTATCTATCAGGAAGTTATTTTGAAACCACAAGTTATACAGACATAATTCAGGAGTTAGTATAAAGCTGTTGGACTAGTGTATACAGTAATACTAAAAAATAAGTCGTAGGCAACATGTTTCTTTCAAATAAGTAAAATAATCCAACAATTTGTTTTTGTTTGAGATTCATATTTCCCTCTCACTCAATTACCATACAAACTGGTTACTGGTGGCTAACTTATGTAGCTCTCTATATTTAAGCACTTAGCAATGGTGGAGGTCAGTTATCAAGTTTTTTCAGTATAACCGCCAAGTCAAATTGACTCGACACTGAAATACATTGTATTTAGGTGTTAGAGGCTTGAAGTCAAATGGCAAGAAGCTCTGTGTCTTGTTAGCAATCATCAGTGAGAAATATGTACACACACGAGGAAACAGATGGTTCCAAAGGTGATTCGAACCAGAATAATTCGTTGTATATTTTCACAGTTGACAGGATCAGTTGTTCACCGCACC